TACGTATTTAAGAAGTCCATTCGTTGATATGTTATGTTGGTTTGGTTGGTTTGTTATTTAACGCCGCACTCAGCAATATTCCAGCTATATCGGGCAGTCTGTAAATAATCGAGTCTGGACCACACAATCCAGTGATCAACATTGTATATATATATAGGCTACCCCACCGCCCGAAATATTGCTGAAAACAGAGTACAATCATTCTCGCTAAGTCACGAAAAACGAAAATGGAATTTCTTATCAAAAAGTAATTAGTATGAATATTTTCATACCAAACTAGCAATAAATGTTCTATATCAGGATACATTTAAGTGAATTATTTAAAGCAAACATTCTCCTTAACCATGAAATATTCACAGCAGTATTACGATAACTTCCTGCTTTGATCCCACTTTAAAGCACATGTCATGTCTTTGCCTATTTCAATGCTATAGATCATAGAGTTATATATGTTCGTCTAAACGAACGTGTGTGTTAAGTGAATTCCACAAAACCGGTTCATGCAAACACATTTTCAGTAAGTTTTCGCAATTTTGAGTGATGAGCAAGTATTCACGTAATACCAATTCTGGTGACTGGTGGCAGGGTAGCCTAGTGGTTAAAGCTAGCTCGTCACGTCTAAGACCAGGGTCGGGTTCCTCACATGACTACAATGTGTGAAGCCCTGGAGCGGATACAGCTTTTTAAGAAAGGGCACAGTTCATTTTCACCCGTTTTCAAGAGAGTTCCAATGGTCATTTAATAAACTTTCAGGACAATGGGGGTGCACCCACCCCAGCCCCACGTTGCATTCATGCACCTATATGAACCCCATATCTAAAAGCGGCGTAAACCCTTACTCACTCACTCTAATGACTGGTCTCATTAACATTGCAATATCATACACCTTCAAAAATTGAGTACCAAACTTCAACAATCTGACTCGCACTGAAATTTGAACATAACTGTGCGAATTACATTTTACAGTAAAAACACTTCTGCAGTTGTACCATTTTACCATTTTGTTTGAACAATATGACCTACACAATAAGTAATATGTTACAGTTTCAAGGGCAACGGTTTCCAACGTATCTTTAAATGAATTACCACTTAATATGTAACAAGGATAAAAGTAGATGTGGCCATCACTGAGTCTCTCGGTATATGAACATTTTGTACATATATGTATGAGGAAGATACGGCAACGGACCTTAGTGTAAGTACCTGCAGGACTGGCCTCGCTTTCATACGTCAACATGCATACTACTACATGTAGTATGCAACACCAGTCTATGCAACTGTACGAATATGAACTAATCAGTTCTGAGCCTCCCGATGAAAGTGTTGCGTAATACTGAAATCTTTTGTTGCGGGCATTACCTAATGGAATGCAGGTATGTCCCGGAAAGCATATCTGAGTCATTTGATTAACTTGGTTCGTCGTGAGTCTGTAAAAGAAGCATGCGTCTCTAACCTATGCAAAATGGACAAACTTGAGGAACATCCAGTGATCAAGTATTTGCAGAAACAAGGACTTAACGCCAAAAGCAATCCATGAAGATAGGGGTACAAAACAAGGCTGAATGCACCTTTCTAAGCCAAATTAAAGAGGTGGGTATTATAGCAGTTTCTGCTTGGCAGCGAGAGTCTTAAAGACGACCCCCGTCCTGAAAGCCTGTCTCGTCAGCGACTCAAAAACTGATCCATTATAGTGATGACCGACCGACGACTGACTAAGCCTCATATACAATGTAGTCAGTTGGGATTTCTCAGGATGGTTGTTTGGTTGTTAATGCCGCCCTCGGCAATATTTCAGCTATATATATGGCGGCGGTCTGTAAATAATCAAGTCTGGACGGTCCAACCACACAATCCAGTGATCAACAGCATGAGCATCGAACTTCGCAATTGGGATACGAGGACATGTGTCAACCAAGTCAGCGAGCCTGGCCACCCGATGCCGTTAGTCGCCTCTTGCAACGATTTGTAAAAGTGGATGAAATCAGGCTTTCCCACAACGTTCCAACAACCATACAATGGCATCATTTGACATGATCTCAAACGCAGAAGGCCAAGACTGTCCCATAAACTGGAAGCTTTGTTACCTCCGCGTCTTTGGATGCCGAGATTGTCATGAGGGAACTATCTTCCAAAAGGTCCCGCCATAGAGAGAGCAAAGTTTGCTGCAAGTTTGCTGAGGTGAAATTGGGGTTAACGTCGTGCTTGAGAATATTTCGCTCATATGACGACGTGCATGCGTGTGTATGTGTAGGTGCGGCTGCTTGTACTAGCCCAGACTGAAGCTGGTTTTATAATGCTAGCCCACTGACATACCATGTCGCAGTGAAGCATGAATACCCCACTCAGACACATTATACTGACTCCAAGCCGACCAGTCCTTGTTGTACCCATTAATGCCGAGCGCCAGGACCAACAAGTACCATATTTTACCGTCTTTTGGTATGACGCGGTCGGGGTTCGAACCCGCGACCTTCCGCTCTCCGGGCGGACGCTCTAACCACTACACCACGGAGGCGCTCAGTTTGATGAGAGAGTGATGAAGAGCCGTTGAGGCTGCTCTTCCCATCAGACTGCGCCAGGACCTAAATCAGTCGTCCCGTGAAGATCCGTCTTATATAATTGGTCTTCAGCAACCCATGCATGCTTGTCATAAGAGGCGACAAACGGAATCGGGTGGTCAGGCGCGCTGACTTGGTTGACACATGTCCCTGTATCCCAATTATGCAGATCGCTGCTCATGATGTCGATCACTGGATTGTCTGGTCCAGACTGGATTATTTACAGTCCGCCGCCATATAGCTGTAATATTGCTGAGTGTGGCGTTGAACAACAAACAAAACAAACCTAAATCAGTCATTACCGCTGCTACAAACTGCGAGTGTTGCTCTGAACTTAATTTTCTGATATGCCTTTCTGATATGCCTTCATCAGACTCCGATCTGTTCTCAAACACGAAGAACGCTATAGCCGGAACCAATTTCGCCTTGTACGATGACGTCACAGTACCTGAGGAGAACTTTCTGGATTTCTGCGAAACTGGGATAAAAGCCTTCTCACATCGGTCTCAAAAGTACATGTATATCATTGTGCATGACGATTATGTTGAAAATCAATCATTTTTATATCTTTACGTCAGTATTTTTTTATGTGAAGCTCAAGACTTATCAGTCAACGATCGGATATGTACTGATATTTCAGGATGTTAGTTCCCACTACAATAGCTGTCATAGGCAACGCAAATGAGAATCGTTTGGCGAAATCGGCTATACACGTTTTGGTAGAGTTTGGAAACAGCTTGTGGTAAATCCATGCATATCACATACGCTGTGATCATTGTCTGGCCTTGTATTTGTCTGACTTTGAGTTACCAAATGATCGTTAATGGTTTTCTCAAGAAGTTAACCCGGGTGTAGAACAAGTACCATCTGTATTTAAGCACATATTACTCTGTGTTAAGTTTGTAATACGAATTATTATTGTCTGAGAAGCTATCTATGTGTTTAGAAAACGTCTATATTTTCCCCTTCGTGTGGACAACTAAAAAGCACTACCATATCTTTCATATTAGACCATCAGGAAGATTTTACATTTTGTTTCGGGGATGTCTGAAATTATATTAAAATGTTGTCGCATTTCATTTGCGTTTGATGATTTTCCCCTTATCAGCCTTGTGTGCGAATTATGTATTCTGTAAGTTTTATGATTACGGCTAGAGATCCTTTCATCAAGAAGTCTCGGGTCTAGACGTATGTTGTTTCAAAAGGTATTACACGTGTTGACGCTGTAAACAGACCGGGTTGATTATAACCAGGGTTACGCTAGATTTAATACCAACAGTCATGTATTCCTAGGTTAGAGGGGCTCGAATTCTAACTTTTTCTGCACTAAATTTACAGAGGTCTTATATACACTCCTAAGTTTCACTTTACATCATGAAAGACCGAGATTCGGTTATTTTTGTCCTCTTGGAGTGCTTTGATTACATACAAACCGCACTAAACGTTTTATGAATGACCATCCCCATGTATGGACTTTCCTCGTGGTGTTTCCGGCCACTAATACGTCCCCGGCCACCTATGCGAGTCATAGGAACCCACAAGAAGGGCTCGGGGGTTGGGGTTGGGGTTGGGTTTGGGGCGATGTGGTGAGGTGTGTGGTGGGTAGACTAACAACTAGTCTCTGAAATGAACATATTTTCCTGAAAAAAAGATTCATAGTAAAAAAAAACAAATATATAATGAAAAGGAGCCCTGAGACTTTCTTCATTTTCAGAGACCCTGAAGCTGTGGAAATCTAGACTTGCCACACTTTCTAGACTTGCGTGGGCTTTCTTGGATATATTGCTTCAGGGTCTGTACGAGAGACTATGTGGTGTGGTGTGTGGTGTTGTATGGTGTTGTGTTGTGGTTGTTGTTGTGGTGGTGGTGGTGGTGGTGTGTGTGTGTGTGTGTAAGGTTCAGATACTTGGTTGATTCTGTTAACGTACACTGACGATGTCGATCGGTGCTTTTCATATCAATCATTGGATTGTTTGACCCAGACTGGAACATTTACAGGCGACCGTCGAATAGGGCTTGTATATTGCGGGGACAACAACCATGTTCATTTCTATTGGAAAGCGAAGACTTGCAATATTTCGGGTTTTCCGCCCATATAAGCTGGCACGCCGTGATATGACGGACATAATGTTCACAGCGGAGTAAAGCTTTCACTAAAGCAATACTGAACTCTACGTAAGTTGTTTTGGCCACAGCAACACTTTCTTTAAAACATCATTTCTTCATGAAAATACTTGACTCTATTTAATTTACATTTTGGATGTGAGTCATGTTGGTATCACTTTTATGTGGTTGAATCCGCGAGCACCAAATCCCACCAGAGCTTATTGGTGCAGGTTTATATACCACACGCTTTGAATTGGTGCCAATCGTAATTACTGCTCTTGGACTCACCTTCCGTACATGTTAGAATGGTCCTTAGCTTACTGCATATGAGCTCATCTGTCGAACGGGGGGTTAAAATACTCCAAACGAAAAAAGCGTCAGCGTAAAAAAGAACTATATAATATGAAAATGACGAATCCGCCCATGTAGAGCCTCGCCATTGCATGCGAGCAGACGACGCTTCTTACGTGCCTCGTTTTCGTAGATGACAGCCTCGTTTTCACATGACAACAAGAATGCTATGGCGGAGTGCCTGTTGGTTCGGTCCAGTATGATGCATGTTATGCGAGACCCGCCGTACATCAATGATTCGAATTTGGATTTTTGTGATACTGCTTCTGTTGGAAGCCGGGATGACCAAGCGGACCGGGACCCAGACTTTGTGGAAGACCGATTTCGGGTAGACCGGAAGAAACTGGAGCAAATGCTACAAGGTAAAGCTCGTTCACACACGTTTTGTGGGTTTGGCAAAGTTTAGGAGATGGTATTAACATGACAACTGTATGATTGAACATTTTGGATTAAATAATTGCTTTGAATTCTATAAACAAGTGACCCTTCACTTTGTCAGACAATTTGGTTAAGTTCATCTCATCGACACGCGTTCAAACGTACTGCCATATATCTAATTTACACCGATCAGCTGATCGAGTTCACAGTGTGTCAGCGGAATACCCCATAAGATGTGAAGTAGTTGTAATGAATACACTCTGAAGTTTGACAAGCACATGTGCGGTACGGCCGCGAGTGATTCGGCTGTTGAGAAGCAACTGAACGTGTACATGCCCGATCGAAGTAGATATAGCGTTTAGTTATAAATCGATACTTTGTCACATAAACTGGCAAGTGTAAACTGGAGTTCCTGGGTTTTACAATAACAACATAGACGGTAGAGGGCCTCGGGAGGTCTTGTGCAGATCGCTGACATTGTTGACAGTTGTCATGGAAAATATGTCAATATCCCTCATCACCTTAGTCAAGTTAGTGGTCATTTCGTCCGAAAGAATCTCACGACATGTTGACGTTTGGACTTTATTAAATAAGTTAACCTAAAAACAGAATGAGGAACTGTGTGCATACGTTTTTGTATATTAGCTAGATTTGACAAATATATCAAATTTTTGGATTAGTACAATATCAGGAAACCCGTTTAAATGCATACTGTCAGTTTATAAGGGTTATACTGTTTTCATTTTTTACGGTAAATATTTGTCTCATCTTCACTGATTAATATAGTTTTCAGCCCAATCTTGAAAGAATAAACTAAGGATATAACTAGCATATCACCCCCCTGAGGCAATACAGCACCTATAGCTGACGTGAAGTGTAAACAGTGTTTCTATATTCGTTACTTTGTGCTGAAATAACTTTCATTGTGAAACATGTAATAACTCGCAAGTACAATGTGACAGTTAGAACTTGAGGTACAGTGCCTGCGGGAATGGATGACAATGTGTTGTTACAATGAATAATGACCAGGTCACATCTTGCAATCTCTCTCTCGCTGTAGGATTAGTTGTCAACAAGATCAAAACAGCAGAATGTGCATGAAGATTAAAATCAGCGATTCATTATGTATTATGTGTCATGTTTTTAGTGGTAATTTGGATTTCATGTGGTCTGTTTCATGTTAGTAATTTTGTCAAATTTAGTTTAAATAGATGTCTGCATACCATGTTATGACAGCCTGGTTAATTATATATGAAGAAAGAAATACATTTTGTAAGGATATACAGGTATTTTAAAAAAGTGATTTGATAAAAATTTAAATAAAGATATGAATAAAAGAAACTGAAATGAGAAAAGAAAGAAAAAATATTTATATCTGTCCCAATTCTCTACCCCTTCAAATTACATTACAAAGACATCTTGTTTTTTAAACATTTGTAGTAAAATATTGCATACAGTTTCTTCACTGAACATGTGTGAAGCCTAGTAGTTGAAGCAGTCGCTAAACACAGAAGGCACAGGTTTGATCCCTATTGTGACAAATTGTGATATTTCTAGAATATTGGCTACACAGGTGCAAAATCAAACTCACTCTCAAACTCATTCACTCACTCATACTGTTGGCACCTTCTTAATTAATCTGTGATAAGATCAATGATATCCAATCAAACAAACAGCAGTCCATTCTCAGCCTTGTGTTAATCTGAGCAACTTCATCAGGTAGTTTTCTGAGCAGCCAGCACTGCCAACTCTCTCACTGTGACGATTTGCTATGTAGGTCACTCAGGCCTCAACATATTTTTCACTTCCTACCTTGTAAGACATTGTTAGTTTTTACCAGTGTGAGAAGGTCTGAAGGAGGGAAATAGAAACGTTTTGTTTCTGCGATGCTTTCAATAAATAACAATAGGATATGTTTGTGAAAATAACAACTAGTAAAGGAACAGATCTTGCATTGTTTTTCATGCCTGATTGATGTGATTGGTACAGGAACACCTTAACATCTTGTTGATATATTAATGTGTGAAGGTCATTTCTGGTGTCCACCGCCGTGATGTTGCTGGAATATTGCTAAAAGCGGCGTAAAACCAAACTCAGTCAGTCAGTCAGTGTTGATATATTGATCTTTTCACCATAAGCAATATTCAGTGTTTCCTGTGCTTTGAGTGTTTATGTCAAGTGGGAAATAGCATGCTTTGTAGTAACAGGTTTTATATTCAAACTATTGTTCATGGAATGAAGTAAAAATAAAATGCTATTAAAGAATACAACTGCTTGGAGTGTTTTGGTGTTGACAAGTTACAGAGTTATTTCCCTTTCTATATCAATTAATAAAAGAGCATGTTAATCATAATTTGTTTGGCAGATTTGGTGAAAGAAAGAATGTTTTAAAGTTTATTATCTCATTCGGCATGTTGAACATTTGGCACTTTTTTAGTTGCAAGATGTGTCGACCAACCGTTAAACAGAATTATATTTTGTTGAATTAAAAAATTCTCCATGATTGTTAGCAGATAGCAGAGGAGTAGATGAATCAGGAATTACATGCTTATTGACATTATTTTATTTGAAACAAATGTATGTTCTGTAATAATTAAGTGCATATGTCAATGAAACAGCCTTTTACCAGGTTACCATGACAACCCTTTTCTCCATTTATTTTCAAATGTAAATGAAATGTAAGGAGTTGTAAAAATGTTTAGTTCTGTGTTAAGTGTGAGGTTATGTGATATGTATGTTCTGTAACCTGATAACAGATTTCTTGTGATGCCTACTATTTTCAATTTTCCGGAATGCCTTTACCAGATATTTCATGCAGAAAAATATGTTTTGAAACTAGAATCCTTCATGTAGCATGTCAAAATGGAGATGTGTTGTGACCCATCAATTAACATTGACAGACGATGTCTGTTGATGGACATAAAGTATGGCTCATATTGCTCTGACATGAAGTTTCCTATTAATATTTCTGACGTTTTGAAAAACTATTGACTTATGAATGTGTAATGGTTTCAAAGTTATGTTTGTATGCCTTTGAGAACATTGGAACGATCTGTTTTGAGAACATTGGAACAGTCTGTGTTAGATTCTTTTTGGATCCGATATGGAATAATTAATAATTAACACAATCTTTCACCCAGTAGGAATTTCTGTTTTAAGTTACAGGCTGGTGACTTTTTGCACACTCTGATTTATGGTATTAGAGTATGAAAATGATTAGGCAGAGTATAAGGTATTTAGATAACATCATTCTATATTACCTGCTTAGGCTCATCAGTTCAGGTATTCTGAGGATTAATGTAAGCATAAAATGTACGTTGTAAACATGGTAATGTCTACAAGGGAGGATTTCATGTTATTGCTGCAAGTGATCAGTAGACCAACTCTTCCATGTTATTTGAATGCCTTCATGTATCCTGACTGTTTAAATAAATAAGACCCGTAAAGGTCCGGGTTAGAATTGATCTTCAGTAACCCATGCTTGTCGTAAGAGGTGACTAACGGGATCGGGTGGTGAGGCTCGATGACTGGGACGACACATGTCATCGTATCCCAGTTGCGTAGATCGATGTTCATACTGTTGATCCCTGGATTGTCTGGTCCAGACTTGATTATTTACAGACCGCCACCATATAGTGGGAATATTGCTGAGTGCGAGTAAAACTAACTAACTAACTAAATAAATGCTCTCATGTATCCTGACCAGTTTTGTGTAGACATAAATAAATAAATATAAATAGATATAGATAGATAGATGGATAAAAACCTGTTTAGACTTAATATCTGACATGCTGCCCAGATATACTGAATGCAGTATGGAACACGACCTTTTATTTGGAGAGATGGCTGTTATAAGGGTTTATGCCTAGGTGTAGGAGAATGTCTTTCCACCAGAGCTTTTCAGCGGAATCATTCCCCTTTGAAGAAGTTTATCAAAGAGTTTCTGCTCATGCAGTGCTGGAAATTAAGAGGAGGATTCTGTGTTCTCATGTGCTAGGGTACTTTGATACCCCATACATCAGAGTCATCACATAGACTGTCATTTCATTTGTATGCTGTAGTCAGCAATGGTCGTATATCTCATGGTTTTTAAATATTTGAGATCTTGATCCACACCTTCAGTGTATGATCACCCACAATCAGCCCACTCACACCTGTGACCACCCGGTTCTCATCAGCTGTCTCTGCAGCAAGCTTAGGGTTCTCGATGACCTGTTCTGCCCAGTAATCCCTAGGTTTAGTAACTGAAATGAATGTTGCTATGTCCTTATCGACTTGTCTAAAGCCCCTAGTCAGATAATATCTCTTTTGGTCAAGTAAGATTTGCTGAATCCATCCATGCATGCATGCATCCATCCATCCATCCATCCATCCATCCATCCATCCATCCACACATACATACATACATACATACATACATACATACATACATACATACATACATACATACATACATACATACATACATACATACATACATACATACATATAGAATTCCTTACACTAACAGATCTACTGAAAATAATGTCATGACTCGTTTTGGGTAGTAAACTCAAACAGATTTGGCACAGTGACACGGTACAGTCGTGATAATCGTTTTTACTATATCTTTCTCTCCCAATGAATTCATCCCTGTCCCTCTTTTTCCTGCTGTGAATCAAATCACAATCATTTATGGACTTATTAGACAGAAGGTGAAACCATAGGATTATGTGTTATACTGAACCCTGATAAGAATCCCCAGTATTCTGTTGTATAAGAGCTCGTATCACTAATACTAGTAATAGCACAGAATCCAGTGTCCAACATTAGACGCTTGTGTTAACCCTATGTGCAATGTCATTATGACAAGATCTTAGTGTTTGTAAGACTAAGAATTCCTAGAATCAAATGATATAGCTGAAACCTGAGGTATAGTCTGTCTCACTGTCCCTGAACCACATTATTTCCCCCTAATGCTTAGCCCTCCTTGCAGTGCTAAAGC